TTTTCTTTCCTATACTTTATTCGTAGTTTTTCTTTTTTCTACTTAAAGAAGTCCCTTAACATTTCTTATAATACCGATTTAGAGGTGATGAACTCCTTTAGCTTTTTCTTGTCTGGGAAACTCTTTATTGCTCCTTTGATTCTAAATGAAAGCCTTGCCGGGTAGAGCAATCTTTTTTGTAGGTCCTTGCTTTTTCATCACTGAATATTTCATGCCATTCCCTTTGGGCCTACAAAGTTTCTTTTGGGAAAAAAACAAGATGATTGTCTAATGGGAGCTCCCTTTTATGTAATTAACTGCTTTTCTCTTGCTGCTTTTATGATTCTGTGTCTTTAACATTTGGCATTTTAATTATGATGTGTCTTGGTGTGGGCCTCTTTAGGTTCATCCGTTTGGGGCTCTCTGTGTTTCCTGGATTTGTATGTCTGTTTCCCTTGTTAGATTAGGGAAGTTTTTGGTCACTATTTCTTCAAATAGTTTTTAAATCCCTTGCTCTTTCTCTTCTTCCAGTACCTCTTTGATGCAAACATTGTTATAATTGATGTTGTCCCAGAGGTCCCTTAAACTATCCTCATTTAAAATATATATATTTTTCTTTATGCTGTTCTGATGGAGTGTTTTTCGCTACCTTGTCTTCCAGATGACAGATTTGATCCTCTGCTTCATCTAATTTGTTGATTCCCTATAATATATATTTCATTTCAGTCACTGTATTCTTCATTTCTGACTTTTTTTTTCCTATCTTATTTTTACCTTTCCCACCTCACTGTTAAAATTCTCACTGAGTTCATCTATTCTTCACCTACATTCATTGGGCATCCTTATAACCAGTGTTTTGAACTCTGCATCTGATAGATTGCTTGTCTCCATTTCATTTAGTTCATTTTCTATAGTTTTGTCCTGTTCTTTTGAGACATGTTTCTTCATGTCCTGATTCTGGCTAAGTCCCTGTGTTTTTGTTTCTATATATTAGGTAGAGCTGCTTCATCTCCCAGTCTTTGTAGTGTGGCCTTCTGTAGCTGTCCTGTAGGACCCAGTGGTGCAGTCTCCCTCATCACCTGAGCTGGGTGCTCCCAAGATGTCCCTTGTATGGGTTGTGTGTGCCTTCCTGTTGTACTTGAGCCCTGATTACTGTTTTTTATTTTTTTAAATTCTGACCGAGGATAAGTTTTTATTGATTTTTTTTTTTGAGAGAAGGAGAAAGAGAAACATCACTGTATGAGAGAGAAACATCAGTCATGCCCTGTACATGCCCTGAACCCACAACTAAGGGTGTACAGGACAATGCTCCAATCAACTGAGCCACCCAGCCAGGGTTAGATTACTGTTTTCATGTCAGTGGACAGGTTTGACCTTCAGGCTGACTGGGTCTGAGGGCTGGTCATGACTGTAGCTGATGAGCTGTTGTGCAGGGTCTGACCCACAAAGAGGAGTCACTGTGGTGGGGCTCTAGTGCCAGCCAAGTCTGCCTTTCAGTTTTGTCATTTTTGAAGCTGGTTGGGTGGGGCTGCAGTGCAGGACAGGTTCATCTACTGCTTATTGCTGGCTTGGGATCATCTGGTAGGAGCTACAAAGCGATAGATCTGTGATTGGTTTTCACTGTGCTGGGCTTGGAGGTTCTGGAGAGAGGCTATTTCAAACCAAGGATGACAACCAGTAGTGTTGGGCACCACAATGTGAGTTGAGGCCAGCTGCCACTTGTGCTGTGTTTGTGGCCACTTAGGTGTGGCTACATTCCAAGCCAAGACTTATGTCAAGCTTGGGGCTACCTAATGGGAGTTACATTGCCAAGTTGAGACTGGGCACTGATCATGCCTTCTTGGGGTAGCTTAGCAAGAGGTACTAGGCACACAAAATCTCACTGCTTTTTTTGTGGACCTTTCGGAGGTTTTAGGAGTGTCTGTGGCACAGGCTGCTTATGTGGAGGAGCCACAGGAAGAGGTTCAGCCAGGCATGCTGGTAGAATGAAGCAGGGTCTCAGGAGTTACCAAGGTGGGGCATATAGAGTTCGCCAGGTTAATTGAGATCTCATATTTGGCACCCACGTGGGCCAGGATGGCTGGGTAGGGGGAGTGCTCAACAAAAATGCAATGGCACCTGCTAGCACTTCTGACCCTGAAGAGAGCTGTCCCAACCCTTGCCCATCCAGCCCTGGCACCAGTCGATTCAGTTTCTCCCTATATGTCCCTGGCATGTTTTGAGCTGCTGCCTCTGCACTGGGGCTCAGAATGAGGTGAGTTTGTAAGCGAGTTTGTGCTTGAGCCCTTTGAGACCTGCAGCACTGAGTTCTCCAGCAGCCCTCCCTCTCACTCAGATCCAGTCCCCACTGGTTTTTACAGCCAGATGTTATGGGGACTCCTCTTCCTGGCACTGGAGCACTGGTTTGGGGAGCTCAGTGTGGGGTGGGACCCCTTGCCCCCCAGAGGTATCCCCTCCTACCAGTCTCTACATGGCTCTTTTATATCCTTAGTTATAGGACTTCTGGTGAGCTAGATGTCAGGTGGTTCTGAATGATGGCTGTTGTGTAATTTAGTTATAAGTTTGATGTGGTTGTAGGAGGCGAGCACAGTCAGTGTTGACCGACTTGGCCATCTTTACCAGAGTCTTTCCCACTTCTACCATTTGCAAACCTTTTCCTTCTAGTTTTTCCTTACTTTTTTTATAATCTTTAAAATGATTAAATTTAGCATTGCATACTGTAAATTGCAGGCAGTAAGTACTTTGCTTTTCAGATCAGATTAATCCCATCATGTTTATTCTCATTTCTCGAACATTTATTACTCTATAGTGGTACATTCGCTGTGGTATTTTCAATTTGTACATTTTAATCCTAAGTGTGGATATAAAATTTTACTGTAATTAGTTTCTAGAGAGTTATTTTTAAAAACTTTATTGCTTTTCAATTTTTCCTTATCAGGAGACAGTTAATTATTGTCCTCTCTGTAGTAATTGTGTTGTGTATCTTTTCCCATTGATGCAAGAATGCTTCCAACTTTACACCTTGTATAAAAGTGTAACAGAGCATGACAGTGCCTCAGAGCCGAACTGTAAATAATTTCTTTATGGTAACATTACTAGTATATCTAGTGGGTTTTTAAGTGAAAAAGTGTAATGGAACAAGATCATACAGTTTTATATTTTGTAGTCTATGACTCTGCAATGTATTCAGAATATACTGTTTAGCCTTAAATAAATAGATGATTAGAAATAACATATCTGAGAAACCTATAAATTACCCCTAAGGAAATGCAGAAATGTATATGTATTATAAAAGATCATCTTTCCTCTAACCCGTTATATCAGTGATGTTTTAGATTGCACAAGAATTGAAAGTAAATTTTATTGACTAAATCTAAATCCATGGGAAATTTCCTTACTTGGTTCCCTTGGTTATTCTTCCTAATCAAAGATTAACATTTATTGCATGGAATTTGATTTATCTTCCTAAAATATTTCAGCAAAATTAATGAGGCTGAACCACTGACTCTTTAAATATTTAAAGCTCAAAATCTAAGACTCATTTTAAATCTTGAAATTAATGAAAGCAAGTGAAGTAGCCTTGCTTAGGTCAAGTCTCCAGCAAAGTTGGGGATAATTATTGTACTCAAATAGGGGGAATATAATCAATGACTTCAACTCTTGCCTTATATTATCTATTCAAAAATTGGTATAAACCAGCATGCATTATCGTCTTAAAGTAATCAAACTCTTAAATATTCTTTTTTTTTTTTGGTACGTGCCCCTGGGGGAACCAAACCCGGGACTCTGGTCCACAGGCCGATGCTCCAACCTCTGAATCAAACCGGCCAGGGCATATATTCTTAATGGCAAAACTCAGATGGAAGTTCAAACAATGAAATATAATAAGGCTAAAATTGTAAATATTATAAACCTAATGTCAGCAATTCAAATTTCACAAATTTGTCAGTGAAATTCGTGGGTTTGATTTTGAATTTCTGAAAAAAATCAATCTGCGTGTATTTACTTTTTGTAGTTCAAAGTAAATATTTATGAAGTCCAGGCTATTTGCTAGGCAGTGTTCTTGGAGAACTGTGTTTGTGTTAGGAGAGAAAATTCAAACAGGATGAATAAGATAAGGTCCCTGACCTCAAAAGAACTTAGCACCTTTGGAGATCCTGGCAGACATCACAATAAGTAATGAGAGAGGGGACAGATGACCTGTGATGGCAGCGGTAGCTAAAGCAGTGGGCAGCGCGCCACAGATCACAGAGGTCATGTCCATCCTCTCCAAACAGGAGTTCGTTCTGTGGATTCAAACCCATGTACTGCTCCCTTTAAACCAGTGAAGTTTATGGTCCTCACCGTTTGATATAGGAGCATTGACAAAATCTCTTTCTGCCTTTAATTCCAGTTAATAAATGTCATTAGAAGTAGTACCTTTTAATTTGTCTACAATTTATATTTTTACACTATTTCAGATGCCCTCTCTCTGACTGCCAAGGTAGTTTAATGAAAATTGCATTTTACTATATGTTCAAACCTTAGTAACATTTACTGTTCAGTGAGCCAATTATCGACGGTGGTTTTTAACATAGGATGCCGATTGGTGGTGTTTAAAAAGCAGATTTCACATACATATATTCATTTAGTCCTCATGGTTGCAAATGTAATGACCATTTTACAGATTGTCTACTACTTAAAGTGATTAACTGATTTCAAATACTCTTATAACACTATTCATTGTACAGGAAAGTTTGGGACAGAAAATTAAAATTTGAAGCAGTTTTATCAACAAGGTCTGAAAAATATAAAATCGGTAGCCTTTGTTATCTAGGAATAAATGAGCAAAGCATATTTTAGCAAATAATAAAAAGAAAATATGGTGATAGATTAAAAATTGGTAATAACGTTGGTAGTATGTCATGAAATTAGTTTTCTAATTTATTTTTTAAAACTGGGATCTTTACAATTTCTAGAATTTTTTTTTTCAATCAGCAGAGACAGTCATTCTGATTTGAAAATTATCTTGATTTTTTAAGATCCCTTTTTTGATCCAGCAAGTAGCCAAGTTCCTTTGCCTCCTGCAAGGAGACTGCCCGGTGAAAATGTCAAATCCAATAGGACATCGCAGGATTACGATCAGCTTCCTTCATCTTCAGGTGAGTAGTAGTAATAATACCTTCTGTTATGTAGTGCTTTCAGAGTACCTTTTTATTCATTATACAATTTAATGAGCACTGCTAGACTAAGAAAGTATTATCACATTTGCAAGTTGCTTATAAAGCTTGTATAAGTCCATGAATACATGAGTGGATAAAAAAAAATCTGTAGTATATATACAGAATGGGATGCTGTGCAGCTGCAAGAGAGATCTCTTATCCTTTGAGATAACATGGAGGGACCTCAAGAGTATTATGCAAAGCGAAATAAGCCAATCAGAGAAAGACAAATACCATATGATCTTACTTATTTGTGAAATATAATGAACAAAACAGACCCAAAGAAATAGAAAGAAATATGGTTCAGACAAACCTCAGAGGAGAGGGATGAGATAAACCAAAGAACTTGTATGCATAACCAATGGACAAACAATGCTGGGGGTGGGGTTTGGGGAGGAGGGTGTCTAGGGGGAAAAAGGAGAAACATCTGTAACAAAGCTATATCATCATCTTCAGTCAGTCAGGTGTGTTCTCTGGTGCAAATCTATTCATTCTCTCGTGTTTGTTTTGTCTTACCAGACATGAGAAATCTCTGTATACGTTGTAATGACGCATTCTCTTATTTCTCCACTTTTAGAATATTAGCACCAAACTATTAACTTTCATAGCTTATTTAGAGCTACTAAGCAGTGCTCCACTGACAGCTATTATGTATGTAGAAGGATAGACCATTTTAGTAAATCAAACCATATTTTTGAGCAATATTAATATTTTTGTCTCATTATAAACATCAGAAGTTTTTCAGCTCAAATCTCAGTTCACAGGTTTATTAGTCATAATCCTATATTCTGTAATTTCTGAATCAAAATAAGTAATGGTTGATTTAAGAATTATCAGTCCAGTTCTTATGTACTTGAGGATATGCATGGGAGATGCTGAAATTCTACTAGTTTCAACACTTGAATAAAACTCAGGAGAACATAGAAATTTTTATTAGCCTTTTCAAATTCTGCCCATGCTCTCTTACCAGTTCACTTCTAGTTTTCCAGGGTTTCAGCTATATCCGTGGGTAGCCAATGAAGCACAGTAGTTCCAGTTGAAAGGATAGATGTCCAGATGGATGGAAAAGTGTGAAAGTTAAGGGGAAGCAATATCTGATACTATGTAAAAGAAGGAAGCACATCTTTTTTTTTTTTTTTTATCTTAAAATATTTTTATTTATTTATTTTTTTATATGAATTTTTATTTATTTTTTTGTTACAGATATTTTACCTTTTTACCCCATTGGCACCCCCCACCCAACCCCACCTCCGCCCCGTCCCCGGCTTAGTTGTCCATGTCCATTGGTCATGCATACATGCATATAAGTTCTGTGGTTTATCTCTTCCCACCCCCCACACCCACCCCCCCAACCCCTCTTCTGAGGGATGTCAGTCTGTGCCCTACTTCCATGTGTCTGGGTCTACTGTATTCCTCAGACTGTTATGTTCATTATATTCCATATATAAGTGAGATCATGTGGTATTTGTCTTTTTCTGCTTGGCTTCTTTCACTTAGGATAATACTTTCCAGGTCCCTCCATGTCGTCTCAAAGGATAAGAGATCTTTCTTTCTTACTGCTGCATAGTACTCCATTGTGTATATGTACCACAGCTTTTTTATCCATTTGTCTACTGGTGGACACTTGGGCTGTTTCCAGATCTTAGCTATTGTAAATAGTGCTGCTATGAACATGGGGGTACATATAGTCTTCCTGATTGGTGTTTCAGGCTTCTTAGGGTATATTCCCAGCAGTGGGATCACTGGGTCAAATGGAAGTTCAATTTTTAATTTTTTGAGGTAGCGCCATATTGTTTTCCATAGTGGCTGCACCAGTCTGCATTCCCACCAGCAGTGTATTAGAGTTACCTTTTCTCCACACCCTCGCCAACAGTTGTTGTTTGATGATTTGTTGATGGTGGCCATTCTGACAGGTGTGAGGTGATACCTCATTGTTGTTTTAATTTGCATCTCTCTGATGATTAGTGATGTTGAGCATTTCTTCATATGTCTTTTGGCCATTTGTATGTCCTGTTTGGAGAGGTGTCTATTCAGCTCCTCTGCCCATTTTTTAATTGAGTTCTTTGTCTTCCTTTTGTGGAGTTGTATGAGCACTCTATATATATTGGAGATTAACCCCTTATCTGATACATCATTGGCAATGATGTTCTCCCATACAGTGGGTTGCCTTTCCATTTTGATGATTGTATCTTTTGCTGTGCAGAAGCTTTTTAGTTTGATGTAGTCCTATGTGTTCATTTTCTCCTTTATTTCTGTTGCCTTAGGTGATGTATCAGTGAAAATTCTGCTCCGTATGATGTCCGAAATTTTGTTGCCTACATTTTCTTCTAGAATATTTATGGATTCACGGGTCACATTTAAGTCTTTTATCCATTTCGAGTTTATTTTTGTGTATGGTGTAAGTTGATGGTCTAGTTTCATTTTTTTGCATGTAGCTGTCCAATTTTCCCAACACCATTTATTAAAGAGGCTGTCTTTACTCCACTGTATGCTCTTGCCATCTTTGTCAAATATTAATTGAGCGTATTGCCTTGGGTCCATTTCTGGGTTTTCAGTTCTGTTCCACTGGTCTATATGCCTGTTCTTGTGCCAGTACCAGGCTGTTTTGGTTACAGTCGCTTTGTAGTATAACCTGATATCTGGTATTGTGATCCCACCTACTTTGTTCTTCTTTTTCAAGATTGCTGTGGCTATTCAGGGTCTTTTTTGGTTCCATATGAACTTTGGAAGTATTTGTTCTAGTTCTATGAAATATATCGTTGGTATTTTGATGGGGATTGCATTGAATCTATAGATTGCTTTGGGTAGTATGGACATTTTAATGATGTTACTTCTTCCAATCCATGAACAGGGTATGTGCTTCCACTTTTTTATATCTTCCTCTATTTCTTTTTTCAATGACCTGTGGTTTTCTGCAAATAGGTCCTTTACTTCTTTGGTTAAGTTTATTCCTATTTATCGTATTTTTTTTGGCGCGATGGTAAATGGGATTGTTTTTTCAGTTTCTCTTTCTGTGAGTTCATCATTGATGTACAAGAATGCCGTCGATTTCTTGACGTTAATTTTGTATCCTGCTACTTTGCCAAATTCATTTATTAAGTCTAATAGATTTTTGATGGAGTCTTTAGGGTTTTCTATGTACAATATCATGTCATCTGCAAATAATGACAGTTTCATTTCCTCCTTTCCAATTTGGATCCTTTTTATTTTTTCTTCTTGTCTGATTGCTGTGGCTAAGACTTCCAGTACAATGTTAAATAAGAGTGGCAAAAGTGGACATCCCTGTCTTGTTCCTGTTCTTAATGGAAATGTTTTTAGTTTCTGTCCATTGAGTATGATGTTGGCTGTAGGTCTTTCATATATGGCCTTTATTATGTCAAGATATGATCCCTCTATTCCTACATTGCTGAGCGTTTTTATCAGAAATGGATGCTGGATTTTGTCGAATGCCTTTTCAGCATCTATTGATATGATCATGTGGTTTTTATTCTTCATTTTGTTTATGTGGTGTATCACGTTTATTGATTTGCAAATATTGTACCAGCCTTGCATCCCTGGAATGAATCCCACTTGGTCATGGTGAATAATTTTTTTGATGTATTTCTGGATCCGATTTGCTAATATTTTGTTCAGGATTTTGGCGTCTATGTTCATCAGGGATATTGGCCTGTAGTTTTCTTTCCTTGTAGTGTCTTTTTCTGGTTTTGGAATTAGAATTATGCTGGCCTCATAGAATGTGTTTGGAAGTCTTCCTTCTTCTTGAATTTTTTGAAAGAGTTTGTGGAGAATGGGTGTTAGTTCTTTTTTGAATGTTTGGTAAAACTCCCCCGTGAAGCCATCTGGGCCTGGGCTTTTGTTTGCTGGGAGAGTCTTGATTACCTCTTCAATTTCCTTAGTTGTTATTGGTCTGTTCAAGTTTTCTATCTCTTCCGGGAATAGTTTTGGGAGACTGTGTGTTTCTAGAAATTTGTCCATTTCGCTTAGATTGTCGAATTTGTTGCCATATAGTTGTTCGTAGTAGTTGTTAATGATCTTTTGTATTTCCGTGGTGTTGGTTGTTACTCCTCCTCTTTCATTTCTGATTTTGTGTATTTGGGTTCTCTCTCTTTGTTTCTTGGTGAGTCTAGCTAAGGGTCCATCAATCTTGTTTATCTTTTCGAAAAACCAGCTCTTTGTTTCATTGATCCTTTGAATTGTTTTTTTGGTCTCAATGTCATTTATTTCTGCTCTGATCTTTACTATTTCCTTCCTTCTACTTGCTCTGGAGTTTTCTTTTTGTTTGCTTTCTAATTTAAGTTATGAGGTTAGACAATCAATTAGAAATTTTTCTTGTGTTCTGAGGTAGGCCTGTAGTGCTATGAACTTCCCTCTCAGAACTGCTTTCGCTGCATCCCAGATTTTGTGTTGTTGTGTGTTCATTTTCATTGGTTTCCAGGAAGTTTTTAATTTCTTCCTTGATCTCCTCGGTGACCCATTCATTGTTTAATAACATGCTATTTAGCCTCCATGTGTTGAAATATCTTTGCATGTTCTTGTTGTAATTGATTTCTAGTTTCATGCCATTGTGATCTGAGAAGATGCTTGATATGATTTCAATCTTCTTGAACTTGTAGAGATTTAGTTTTTGTCCTATCATGTGGTCTATCTTTGAGAATGTCCCATGTGCACTTGAGAAGAATGTGTATTCTGTAGTTTTGGGGTGTAATTCTCTGTAGATATCTATTAAATCCATTTGGTCTAGTGCTTCATTTAGAGTCTCTGTTTCCTTGCTAATTTTTTGCCTAGAGGATCTATCCAGTGCTGTCAACGGGGTGTTGAAGTCCCCTGCTATGATCGTATTGTTGTCGATTTCTCCTTGGAAGTCCTCCAGAAGATTTTTAATATATTTTGGTGCTCCTATATTGGGTGTATATATGTTTATCAAGGTTATATCTTCCTGT